CAGGAATGTGACGTCACTGTCCCTAGCTCAGTCTGTGCTCCGCCAAAGGGGACTTCCCTGGAATCCCGGGGCCTCCCCATCAGTGGGAGACCCCCCTTTGTGTCCCAGGACCACCCTGGGGTGCAGGGAGGAAGACAGGGGAGTAGAGAGACAAGCCCTCTCTCAGCACTGGACGGCAAGGAAGTGCTACATCTGGTACAAGCCCTGGGGTCTCAAGGCACAGCCTCCGGGGTACAGGGACCACAGAGCCCAGTCAAGAGCCCAGGCGGGCCTCAGCAGGACGCCTCCCCTTTCCCTGGGGTCCGCAGAGGCCCACGTGTACTTCTGGCGCTCTGGGGGTTAGTGGGGAAGAGACGGGGTGCTGGCTTACACGAGGATTTTCTGTATCCACGTTTACAGCTCTAAGGTTGCTGGACTGGACAGTCATGCCTGCAGAGGGGGCAGCTGCTCGGCATAGCACTGCTGCGGGGGGTGGGGGGCGGGAGGAGGTGACGAGAGGGGCATTTTGATCACTGCCCAGTGCCGTAAAAGGGAATAAACACCTGGCTCAGAGGAAAACAAAAAAACACCAAAAAAGACAGTTCTTAAGTCACGTTTAATAAACTCAGAGTCCCGGCTAGGTGCCTAGGCCTGTGTGCCCCCATGGGGCCGGGGACCACTCCTGGTGCGGCTCCCAGCCCGGTCCCAAGGCTGCCACCTGACCCCGGGGCCAGCAGGCTGGGCCTGAGGCCAGTACTTCCTGTCTGAAATGGGGGAGCACTGGCCGTTTCCAGTAAGGTTTCGGAAGATACATTGTGTCAGGTGAGCAAAGAGTGCCATCAGCTAAAGGGCAGTGCCCAGCTGCTGAGGGCCTGTCTCCCTGACCACTGCCTGGCTTCTATGCGGGGCCTGGGGACAGAGCGGGCGGCCGCCCTGAGCCCTGCACCTGTGGACAGGGTGGGGCAGCACCTCTGCGAGATGCTGGGGTGAGACAAGTTTGCCAGGGCACACACTCGGTCTTTTATTTTAAAGGTAACAACCAGAACACTAACTAAAGTCTGCTACCAGGAAACAGTCCAGGATAAAAAATGGAGAAATACAGTGGCATTCTCTAAGGCTAAGGTGAAAGGGCAAGGAGTTCCCAGCTGGGACGGCCAGCTGCTGCCTGGTGCACTCTGGTGCGTTCACGCAGCTTCGGATGTCACGGGTGTGTACACAGATACGTCATGGTCCTCGTGAGCACGACACGCTAAAGCTACATATACCTCTTTAGAAGGTGTATGTAGACCATTTCATGTCTCTGTTGGCAAGTAAAACAGGTAAGCCACGGCATCTAAGTTTGAGATCCAAGCGTCTACACAAGGTAAAGACCACCACTGAGTGCTAGTCACTCTCAACAGGTGAGTACAGTGACCCGCTCACCCTGGTCTAACCTACCCGCCCACGCTTGGAGTACCGAAGGCTCCGCAGCGCGGCGGCCTCCTGGGAAGTGCCCACACGCCGTAAGGCCCACAGGGCTTGGTCCTAACCTACTCCTTCCTGGCTGGCAGTTTCCATGAACTGAATCCTAGCACCTCTGGAACAAGGAACGTTCCTCATTGATCCTAGCCACAAACAGGCTGCCGGTCAATACCCACCGCAGGGTGGGGCCAGCCTTTCAGGTGAGAAACACAAAAGGGAGACCCTAGTTAGGGAAAACTTTCTTTAGGTTTCTGCCACAGGAGCAAATGGCTCACCAGAAAGACAGTGAGAGGGGAAGTAAGGGATTCCCCCCGCAGGGGCCCAGGATGGCCTGCACCATCCCCTTTCCTCCTGGGATTTTGGGAACACACCCAGGAATGCACCTGGCACGACCCTGCCGGGTACAGGATTCAAACCGCGGTCTGCCATGTGGGAGCCCAGCACCCCAGCCTCAATCTGTCACCTGCTGGCCACTAGGGAGACTTTCTTAATGGGATCCGAGAATTAAGGCCTCGCGGAGATGCGCCCTCCTGGCACCCTGGTGTCCAAACCCAAGGGCAACAGCAAACCGCCTGCAAACGCATTTTGTTTTTAAGGTTTTCGCCTCGGGGTGCGAATGTTCAAACCCTGCCGGTGACAGGGAGGGAGGCAGGCCGGGAGTGAGAAATCACCCCAGCCATCCCTCCTGCACTCTCCTCCCCGGATTGTGGACCTGCACGCACATACGACCAGATAGGCAAGAGTCGCCAAGCCTGGGCCCCGAGCTGTGGGCGGCTGGCTCCCACAACCCATCTCTGCGTTTCGGAGCCAGAGCAAGGTCAGGGGGCGCGGCACGGCAGGTGTGTGCGGCGCAGGCACCTCGTTTACAGGGGCCACCCCCTCGGGCACGCGGAACTGAGCCCGAGGCCCAGACTCACAGTCTCAGCAGGCCCTGCAAGTCACCTTCGCAGAAAACCGGAGCCCAGGCGCTCACTCCAACCCCTCCCCGGGAAGACAAGGCCTCCCCCCTCCGAGGCCCCGCACGTCCAAGGCGCGCATCGCCAAGGAGCCACTGTGATGCCACAGCCAAGGACAGCCACGCGGGAAATGGCCTCGGAGCACCAGACCCTGGCAAGGGGCAGCTTCCGGTGGGAAAGAGGCGGAAGGCGGACACCCGGCTGCCCACCGCGCCGCGGCCTCGCCCTGTCTCCGCGCTGCGCTCCGGTGACGGTGGAGAAAGCGGCCCACCACCTCCCCACCCCACTCCACTCACCGCGGCCCGCGGGCCTCTCGGCCCCGCGCGGGCGGAGGATGCACTGGGCCGGGCCGCCGCGCAGGCGCCGTGGCCGGGGCCACCCTGGGGCGAGAAGGCCCGTTTCACTTCTCCTCTGCGGGACCGCATTTCCTAAACTCCCAGGCGCAGCGGGGTGTGGCCAGGGTTTCTCCTGGGCGCGTGGGCCCCACTCCTACCCCTGGCCGAGTCCACGGGAGGGCAGACAGCAACCACCGTCGGGAGAGTGGGGACGGCCCTTCCTCCTTCCTGTCACTCGTGCTAACAGGACACCCATCTGTTGTCCCCAGATACCTCGGGAAAGGGGCAGCGAGGTCCCCAGAGGTAGTGCACAGGCCCGCGGCTTCTTCCAGCCTGCGCCGGGGCTGGGGCCGGCGTGCTCCCGGGCTTGCTCTCCAAAGGGACGAGGCAGCCGCTGTGCCCAGGCCGACGCCCCGGAACCACCCCGGGCAGAAAGGGCTCCAGACTTCGTCCTGGCTGTGGATAGGTGTGGGCGCTGCGGGCGCTGGAGCCAGCAGTGTGACCTTGGCTGAGGCAGAAGGAAAGTCGGAAAGTGGGACACCGCGGGGTGGGGTGGGACACGACGACCACGGGAGCCCACCCGAGGAGGGCAGCCCTGCCCAGAGACACCTGGAGGGATTCCAGCTCCCAGGTGCAGGCAGGCTGGGCAGGCAGCGAGGAAGGACACGCACACGGGTGGGAGGGCAGCAGGCCCCGCCGTCCACGTAGCAATCCCAGAGGACCTTCCCGCAGGTTCCCAGGGTGCTCCCCCTCCTTCCCCGGACTGACCGCGCCAGGGCCCCCGGTTTACCTGCGGCTGCCTCTCTTGGGCATACAGGGTTTACAGGCCTTGTACTGGCATGTTTCCTTTTCATTTAAATAGTAAACCCAGAGGAGGAAATAAAAAGCCTCTGACTGTCAAGAAATTCTTCCACCCCATTCACAAAAATCCCACACTGCAGATTCACAACTGGGGCGGCTGCGAAGGACAAGTGCTGTCCTGGGCAATTCTGCTGGTGGGACTCAAACGCCACTAGAGTGAGCGTGTGTGGATGCAGGACCTGCCGCCCAGCCAGGGGAGTTCACAACAGTGCAAAACCGAGAACGTGGCAGTTCAGGCTCCGTTCCAAGGCCCCCTGTTCCCGCAGTGAAGGCGGGCGGCGAAAAGCCGTAGGCAGCAGTGTGCTGCCTCTAGGCCTCCGGAGCAGCAGCTGGACCTGAGCGGGGCCTGCAAGCAATGGGCGTGTCTGCCCCCTCCTCCCTGGCCAGGGACACCTTCAGGATCCTAGCCACCCCTCACTGTCCACAGCAGGGAACCCCATCTTCCAGGGGCCCACCTCAGCCACAGTCCAGAGCTGGCCAACAGAACCAGGGCCACCCCCATTCACCGTCTGACCCTCATTTCCAACAAGGGCTGCCTTGTTCTTCTCACTGGGTTCCAGGCCCCGAGGTAGAATTAACTCTGGTGGAATGAATGGGGATTGCAGAGTACACCCCCAGTCTAACAGGGAACCCACGTAGATCCCAGGCAAAGCAATCCAGTATTTTCTGATGCCCAGCAGATGCTCCCACTGCTGTCAATTTTCCTGAGAAACTGATGGGTTTCCACGCCTCTCAGTAGAGGCCAGGTGCCTGGCATCACCTCTCAGCAAACCTGCACGCACTTCACGGTCAGTTCGCCAATGCCAGGTGCATCCCAGCCGGCCGCCACTCTGCCAGACCCACTAGTGTCTGGGCCCCGCCAGAGAGAGGTCACTGTTCCTAACCACGTCCCACTGTGCCCCCGGCAAATGGACCCGTGCATCTCAACTCCGCAGCCCGACACCACCCATCACCCGGTGCGGCTTGGAGCCCACGAGCCAGTGGGGAGGCTGAGACCTGGCGGGATGGAAGAGGGGAACCTTGCAATGGGAAGGCCTGTGGGAACCCATGGGGGAGTGAAAAGCTACCTGTCGGCAGGAGCAAAGGGTAATCATTCACTTTTCTACCCTCAGTCAAGAGCAAACATGTGAGGGGCAGGAGGGCAGGGGAGTAGGTGGGGAGAGCCCACTGCCGCCGCCATGCCCACACTGGGCGTTCTCAGAGACCTACACTCAGAATACTTTTCAATTAGAAAGGCAGCAGGGGGGGGGGGTCTCTGGACCCCTGGCCTCCGAGCTGCGGAGGGGGCCATGGATGGATGGCAGCTGCCGCAAGCACAGCAGAGCTGCGGGGAGCAAAGGTGAAGCGGGAAGTGTGTTTAGCACCGCCATTTTCCAGAGCCTAGCCAGGATAAGCCAAAGAGTTCTTCTACCCTCGCGATAAAACACTAGTGTTGGGACCAGCAGGTGGCGTGGTGGTTAGGGGCGCTGGACTACGACAATGGCTGACCATGGTTCGAGTCCCAGACATGGTGGCTTTGCCTTCTCGTGCTTTCTTTCTTTCTCTCTCTCTCTCTCTCTCGCTACCACTGGTAAAAATAAAATAGATAAATAAAATTAAATAATTCTTTAAATAAAAAAACCACGAGTGTCATTGAAGTTAGAGTGATGGCCTGAATCCTGGTTCATCACTCCCAGCCACTGAGGATACTGAATGTTACGTTTTCCTTTTGAATTCAGTGAAAATTAATTTTTAAATTGTTTTCCAGAAGTATGTGCCTTCCACGATCCCCGGCTCTCCATGTGGCAGCCCACTCCTGCAACAGGGGCAGGCGGGCGTGCACCCAGCACACTCAGGAGGGTCTGTGGACTTGAACTAGAGCCTTCCACAGGGACTGCCTCAACCACTCCACAGGAGGGAAGCACAGACACAGGTCACATCTTGGGGGGGTGGCGCTGTACTCACACAGCTATAATGTAAGAGTTTTTCTCCCCTCTCAAATGAAAACACTTTACAAGTGGAAAGGCAGGGCCAGCAGGTGGCATGGGGGTAAAGGTGCTGAACTCCCATGTGGTTGACAGCGGTTGGGTCTCGGGTCTTCACGTGTGTGTCATGCCCAAAAATCTGAGTGGAGACGGGAGTGTGGTGTGCCCCACCCCCCTACCCCTCACCTTCTCGAGTGCATGCACCCTCCAGCAAAAGCCTTTAGGGGAGGGGCTTTTTGAAGCTGGGTCTAACAGTGAGCCTGTAGAACCGAGATCAGACCAGCACTGGGTATATCGTGTAAGTTACTGTCCTGGCCCAGCTCCCGGAAGCGAGCTGGGGAAACTGAGAGGCGCTGTACTGGAAGGAGACAGAGCCCACTGCTGTGCAACAACGTCGGGACCCCGGGGGCCACAGAGCAGGGCGTGGCAGATGTCCTGGCGCCCATACTTCTGGGCAAGCTTCCATCCATGGCAGGGGGCTGGCTGCAAGTGCCCAGAGACGGCAGAGCACGCTGTCTTCCAAAAGGGGTGCCACTGACGATCTTGGACTTTGGCATCTTAGGGGCTGGGAGGTCAGGGGTGTGCGGCCTAGAACGAATCCCCAGTAGGTATCCTGGCCTGTGATGCCAGCAAGTACAAGCTATCAGGGACTTCTGAAAGGGACCCAAACAGGGGCTTCAACTGCGTTCTGAATTCTGACCAAACCATACCCATAAATTACCCTTCCTATACCATCAGCGTTTTGAGTTCCAAACAGAACCAATTGTTTCTGAGATTTAGAAACGGACGTTCCAAAGGAGAAATACGACCAGCACACACCTGCCTACTGGTGAGGCCAGAACACCGCCTTCCACGGCTGCGGAGAGAAACAGGAGTAGCCGTGGAAGCGGAAGCAGAAACGAGGTCTGCACTGGCCCCAGCCTGGCGCCTCATCACAACAGCCGTGTGTACCCCCAAACAGCCCTGAGCACATGTGGATGTGGCTACACACACACGACCACACACGTGCACGATCTGTTTGCTAATGAGATAAAAAAGGTCAGATCCCGAACCACTAATTGTGAATCAAGTCCCGACCAGCCAGGTCTTCAGCACACGTCGAAGCTCGTGAAGAGTATGAGCCATTCCGCCGAAGGGTCCGTGAGACCCTCACCTCGCGGGTGCACTGGAAGACGAGGCTACCCTCTCAGCCCAGCTGCATCTGTCCCACGTGACAGCACGTTCAACACTTTATGACTACATTTCAGAAAAGGGAAAGGTTTGGGAAGAGGGAAAAAAAAAAAAAAAACAAGAAAATATTACCCTTGCTCTTACTGAAGCAAAGGTACTCAGGACGTGACCAGTGGCCTGGTCTAACCGCGTGGTCTAGAAGGGAAAGGAAACCAGGCAGGCAGGGGGGGTGGGCAGCCCACTGAGCAGCCGGCCCCATGCCACAGGGCAGGTGCGGCAGCACTGAAGATACCCACTGGGCCTCTCACCAGCAAACCTAAGCTGACGCCAGGAAATTATGACCTACCTGCGCTCATGACTCTGGCAAGCGACAAATGAGGGGTTTGTAAATCTCCCCCAAACTCAAGTGTTGATTTTTTTTTTGGCGGGGGGGGCAACTTTCTGAAAGCCAGGGGCTCCCATATGCAGGGCTTGGTTTTAGGCTTTTGGGTTTCAGGAGCACTACCATCCCTCCTTATCCAGTTTCATCTCCTACCATTTCAGTTACCTACGGTCAACTTCAGTCCAAAGATATGAAAGAAAACAATCCTTAAGTTCTTTTTAAGAGATTTTTTTGCTATGGGGCACTTGTGCTCGCTAGAGAGACAGAAACAGAGAGCCAGAAAGCAAGAAAAACCCCCGGGGAATGGCCACGCCGATATCCCTTCTCCTCCAGTCTCCTCTCGGGATCTCAGGCACGCACACACACCCATCGTGAGTTTTAAGCCGCTGGATTCAGGACTCAAACTGTGGTCCACCGAGTGGCAGTCCAGTGAAGTAACCATTACGCCATCTGCTGGTTCCAGTTTTTTTTTCTTTTTTTAAAAGAGGCTTTTGACTTAGGGCACTTGCACTCGCCAGAGGGACAGGGAGAAGGAGAGAAAGAAAGAGAGACAGTTAGAAGGAAAATGAGAAATCATCTCTGGGGATCGCCATGCTGCA